TTTCATAGTAGCTTATATGGTTCGTCAAAGCCTTCTCAACTGTTGAGGTGCAAATTCTCTGAAGTAACTTTCACTTTAATCAGAATATTGCAAACAAATGAAGAGGGAAAGCTTACCACATTCCATTCTGTGGCAGCAAGAAGGTAACTCAGTGTCACGCACATGTTGGTTTAGCCAAATGTTTTGGCTGAGTGAGGAGGTGGGGGGAGATTAGTCTGTAAAGAACATAACAGTCTGTACCCGCATCTCTGTATCATTGGCTGTAACAGATCTGCTGAGCGGATACTGTGTGTGGCCTGGTGGAGCCTGGCGGCGGCCGTGGCTCTGGTTCCCAGGGTTAGCACCTGGGAAATGGTGCAGGCACGTGGGGTGCGTCTAGTTGTTTCAGAATAAAAGGTTTCTTAAAAATTGTGGGAACCGCTCCCTCTTGTTCTTCATTGTTTTTAGAAAAGGGAAAAAGTAATTTGCTGTCGTGAGTTACCCTTTTGAATTTTAATTATTGGGGTAGTAGGTCTAGTAAAAGTTTAGTCTCTGACTTCGCAGGTAGAGACATGGGCTTCTACCTGTGGGACCCCTGACCCCTGGCTTCAGGGCGTAAGGAAGGGGGCTTTTCAGCTGGGACGTGTGGTTCTGGGACCAGCTTCTCTGCTCTGGGCTCCAGTCTCCAGCCTCCTGCCTGTCCCCGAGCTCTGGGCTCTGTAAGGGCTGGCTTCAGGGCAGAGACTCAAGGGTCAGCAGACAGCAGCCAAAGGCTAGGCTTACAAACACATAGCTGTGGTTAAGGCTCAGTCCCCCTAAGGGGCCTCTGGTGCCGCTCTGGGGGGAGGGGCTCCATCCAGCTCAGGCCAGAGGCTGCCCTTTGGAACTGCCTGCATCTGTAAACAGGGCTGAGCCAGCAGTGTGCCTCTCCCCAAGCCCCAGCCTCCACTGGCAGCCCCCCTTACCCACCCCCTCCCCAACTCAGGTCACTTTCCTCCTAATCTTAGCACCCTCCCCTGTGCGGCGTGCTTTACAGCACATGTTTTGTTCAGGTATTTTCAACACATACCTAACCCACTGGTGCTGTGGGGTGGTTGGTTGGTGGCTTTTGCCTGGGTTTGGGGAGGTGGAGGATACAGGTGCTCCCCTGTGGAAACGCAGGCCCTGCAGCAGGCTGGCCCCCAGTCCTGGGCATCTGCTGTGATCAGCTGGCCAGCTGCCTCCCCGCCCCCGCCCTCCATGTCTCTCCCATCCAACAGTCACCAAAAGGACAGTGTGAGCTCTGGGGACAGATCATTGGCACCGCCACAAGTCCCACTCTCCTGGCTCCACCCCAGGCCTCTGTCAGAGCAGCTCACTCACAGCCTCCACCTTCTGGTGGCATTTCTGATGGAGTGGACGCCAGACCCTGACACTTAGTGTGAGGCTCACTAAGTAAAGCTTGGTTCTGCCCGTGATGAAAGGCTCCTGGGAACAGAAAGTCTCGCCTCTGGACGGAGGCCTGTGCACCCTGCTCCAGACCCCCCCTCCACCAGCATCAGGGTGGTAGCCCTGGGTCCTGCTGGGGCAGGGGCTTGGCTGTAGAGCGGAGTGGCTGTGTGTGTGCATGTGTGCCCTATGTGTGGGGATTCACTCTGGAGGGTTGGAGGGTCTGGGCTGGGTGGCCTTGGGGACGGCCGTAGTCAGGAGTTTGAGTAATTATTTAAATTAGGGCTGAGCTTTAGGTCTCTCTTGCTGGAGTTACGTTTCCTTCACATCACATTTTGGAAAATAAAATGTGCCCGACCAGTGTAAGGTGTCACTCTGGCATGGAGTCAGGCAGAAGTGAGTCCACTGTGCGCTCTGGATCCTGGGCCCCGGGTGGCCTCCAGGCCTTGCTGGGGCAGGTCAGGGAAGAGGCCCCCACCCACCCATCCAGTTGTGCGCTCCACACACATCTCACCAAGGAAAACCATTTCCCTTGCCTTGAAAATCCTTGTAAGTACAAGTGGAAAATTTCGGAGGGTCCTGTGGTTTGTCCAGCTGTGCTGGTGCAGGGCCAGCTCAGTTCCCAGGCCTGTGAGCATTGTCCACCACCCTCTCTCAGTCCAGGGCTGCTTCCCCAAGTCTGACTTCAGCAGGCTGGCACATCCAGGGTTCTGACCACCCTGCGCGCCGGGGACAGCAGCTTCCTCCCAGTGTCCTCAGCAGGCAGCTCCTCTGCCCATGTGTCCAGGGCACCCAGGGCCAGGGTCCAGCCTCCTTCCCCCAGCCCTTTATCTTTGCTCTGAGAGCTCTGAGAAAGACAATGGCCCCTTTCTCTGGGCACAGAGAGCCGCTGTTGACCCTCATGGAGCCTGAGCTCCGGCCAGAGCCAGTGACTGGACGCCTGTGACGTGGGGGGTGGGTGCTGTCCCGAGACTGCAGTGCTCGGAGCCTCCCCTAGCCCTGAGGTTCAACAGGGCGCCCAGCACACACTGTAAACGGTGTGATCCAGTGAGAAGGCACGGGTGGTGAGCAGGTACATGTTTCAGCCTGTCACCGAGTGCACTGTGTGTGTGTCAGACCGCGGTGTGGGGAGGGGCACCCACCCCCACCAAGTGAACTTGTGTGATGTCTCAGGACAAAGCCCACACTGGGCAGCCCGGAACCCCAAGGGCATGTTAATGTCTCCAAGGAAAGCCAAGGCCCTTCTGGGGCACACCTGGTGCTGTGGGCAGCCACCAGGGCTCAGACCTGGTACCCCACATGGGGGGTATGCACCTCTTCTCTGTACCCCTTGGCCCGTGGTGACTGGCAGGTGTGGATGCTGACCTGAGCCCACCTGTGTGCTGCATATGCCCGAGGCAGGCGGGCCATCAGTGTGAAGTGAATCACAAACGGGTCCACCAAGGCTGGGAGGAGAGCTTGGGGTGGGAGCCCCTACCCTAATCACCCTGCAGTTCTGCCTCCTCTGCTGCCCACCCCCAGAGCTCTTCTGAGAACGAGTCTGACCCATAAGGATCTGTGGGGAGGACACAGCAGTGTATCCGGGCCAGTGAGGTCCACCCCTTCCTGCCCTGCCTGGCTTTCTTAAGGCTCTTCCACCCTCTCCACCCAGCCCAGGCCAGGCAATGCCCTTTTCTAGTCCCTGCTGTGGCCCTGCCCTGCCCCTCCAGCCTCCTTCCTGTGCCCCCTCTCAGCTGTCGCTGAGCCCGCAGAGCACACAGGGAGTCCTCAGGGAGCGGGGCAGGGCTCCTGTCTCGATGACCAGGTCCCTTCCGCCTCCGAAACAGCAGCCAGCATCCTGCAGGGTCTGGGGCTGGTGGCAGGGGCCATGTCCTGGGACAGCTGGGGCCCTGGGGAGGTGCCCCGTCATGGGGCGGGAGCTCCCCACCCATCCCAC